GCAGCTTCGTTCAACCAGTGCTGACACCTAATTCCGTATAATGAGACACGCCGTGGGCGAAATTTCTCCCGGGAGGCGTCGTGTTTGTAAAGTCACTGCAAATTGCTGATATAGTATCGGATATGTAATTTGCTGAAAGATGGATAATCAATGATGGAGACAGGGACGGAAAAGTGCATTAGTTGTTAATTAACGAGCACTGAAATCCTATCGTGTGAATTTCTTAGTGAATTTGTTATTTTATTGGTACGCCGAAAGAAAAATACAGTCACTTCGAGTTAACTTACTGGAACAGGAACTCAGCATCGTACGAGAGTATTATATTCGCCGATCTTGAGTCACCGGGTTTTTCCATATGGGGATGAGAAAAAGGGATGCTGTGTTCTGGGGTTGGTTGCTTGGTTACTATACTTCTGGAAATACTGCCACGTCACAAACAGTCCTCCGGATAATTCAGTCTGGTCATATCTTACGCGCGACACGTTTTCTGGCCAGTTTGTTTCTTAAAGTTGCGACACTAGCGACATTCTCGACACTTGCGGCTGAGCGATGAGTTAAACTGAGGACAACCAATTTTTCTATCCATTATACACTGTATATCTATATGTTTTTTACACCATATATCTTATTTTCGTTTCTTATGCAATATCGAAAATTTTTTTCCTCGATATTGGCTGCATCCCCCTCGGTGTCGAAACTGTCACGTGTCTTTTTGCCACGTTATTATTATTACGTGTTGTTCCGTACTGAAGGAAAATTATTGTTTTTTTTTAACTCGCTGTCATATGTACTTCCAATGAACAGAAGGTCGATAAGGTAGATATCTACCTGGGCTTTTATCTTTTAAACGAAATTTCATGTATTTATATCATCCCTTCAAGTTCACCTGTATCATTAAACGGGTTAAATCTTACTTTATCTCTCTAATTAATGCTGGCCACCAAAACGATTTAGATTCCTAACCCCCCTTAGCTGGACGAAGGATTACGACAAGTAACGATCGGCCCCGACCTGGCTAGAAATTCTGCAATGCGCTGCACTTCGCTTTTGTGATTAATTATATACAGAGAATACTTTAATGGGTAACGAAAATAAATTAAATTACAATAAAAGTACCTGGACCATTATGATTATTTGATTGGATGAAACGTTTTTTTTATAAATGTTTACTTTAGTTGAAAAAAAAATTAATTCCCATCCCCTTCGCCCTGCCGTACATCTTTTTTTAAGGCCATCAACCAGTCGCTGTCTGGCCTTGACGATAATTATCTCAACGAGCGGAAGATCGATCGGACGATTAAACTAAAATTTACTTTTGTGAACGGACCTTAAGTCTCTCCGCAACGTCACGTCGATTTCGGCTAAAAGCATACCTCGCAAAGTGGCGCTCGAGTCCCAAGAAAATTTTTCAAGGAAATTCCAATTCGTCGGACTCTCGGGGGTGGAGGAGGGCGAACGGAGGGATGACTAAGATGAAGGTTACTGATGGGGATACGATTATTCTTGAAGGGATGATCAACCCCTGTCTCTCCGAAATTGTACTTTTCTTCGACGAACGTATAGACTTCCTGCATAATGCTTCTAGTTCGGCCCTTACGGGGTCGTTACCTATGACATTCGAATGCACCCTCCCTCAAATTATTCCAGGAGACCTTTGTCGTGACTCCAAGGGTGCACACAGGGGTTGGAACGTATCGCGTTATATTTCCCATACAGAACAAAGTGCACCAGGCTAGCGTAACAGACTGGGAAACAGTTAAGAAAAGATAGGGGGGTTGTAATTAAAAAAAAAAAAAATGTTAAGCAAAAAATTTTTTCACCCTGTCAAAATATATTTTTATTGACCTTGAATATTGTTAATATATCGATAATTATTATTTTTTATATCGCGTGTCGACCCTCGTTACGCAATAGGCGAAAGTTACTAGACGGCGAAGCAATAGCACCCTCCCCCCGGCCTTCCAAGGGTAGCTGCACGAAATTTCACACAAAGGGGGAGATTACGTTTTATCGTAACGGCCAATAACGCGTGAGATAATGTGGCGGTGTTCGCAATAACCTCATCCGCCATCATGAATGTCACGAGGATTACGTGAGAAAAAATATTGCTCGAAAAGTAAATTAATTTGAAAATTTGAAAATTATTTTTTCATCCCTACTCACAAGACGCTTTAGGGATCAATGCTCGAATATACAGACATCCATTTTTTTCTGAATATAAATTTTTCTATAATAATAACAATGGCTCTAATTAATTATCACCACCATTGACCATTCCTCGTTGACAATAGACACCATAGGGAATTTCTAGGGGAAATTGTATTTCCGATCGGAACGTGACAGCAGACAGAAATAAATACGCATTAGACGAACGAAGGGAACGTGGAAATAAAACCATTCGTATAAGAGGATCACACGTATTAGGGAGTCTAATCTTTGGACTATTTCGACATAATTAGGAGGGTCTTCGATATACATTTGACAGGAGTAGCCAATCAAGCATAAACACCTGGTCGATGTTTGTATTACACGAAAGGCCTACAGGATCCCGTAAAGAGGGATAAAATAAGAATTAAAAAGTACGAAAAGTCGAAAAAGTGAATTTCATTGACGTAACTCAAACAATTGTTATACGTAAATGAAAAATTGTTATTTTCATTCGGTCGAATAAAGAGCACCGGGTATAAACGATTGCGTAATAAACATATCGTGCGTATACAGGATATGACTTTTTCACGGGGCTACAGGCACGTGATTTCTTAGTTCTCAAATCCTATCGGTCTTTTATAATATCTAGGTAATTTTTCAAGCCCACGCAAACTCAGCACGGCATGCATGAAATATATACCTTTTCTTTCCTTATTTTTTTCATATCGTCTATACACATCAAAGGGATGCATCGACTTTACCGATGAAACTTTAAGGCACGAGGATCGTCTACGATTCCCTAACAGTGGCTTCGGTTGCCATATGGTACAGGCAATCGTAAAAACCGTCGGGATCTTTGTAGTGCTTACGACTCGATACACTTTTGAAATTTACGTGAGCTTTCGTCTTCAAAAGAAACAACGATGGCTGCTATACCTTGTGCAACGAACAAAGGCAGCACGGAAGACCCTGGTTGCGTAGTTGCATTTCAGGGAAAAAAAAAGCAAAAATCGCAAGCTCAGATCCAAACAATATGGCCAACGACTGTTATACGAAAACAAGTGAGAGGAAAAAAAAAAAAATTCAGAAACCCAGAAAACCGTAAAAAATACCAAAAATTCAATATTTCTACGAGCGAGGATTTCCTTATAGATAATAGTTTTTTTTTTCTGGCAAATTTTTTTCACATTAAAATCCGTTACGTGAACCGTCGAGGAGAGAAGGAATGACGAAAGAATAATAATACGAGCTGCTTAGAAGGGTAGAGGGATGGCAACAGGCGTAACGGGGGACGCACGTAAAAATAACGGCGAGGTGCGTGAACCACGAAGACGCTTTCCTAAATCATATCTTGACGTGGCTGAACCCCTTGAGGTTACTGCAGGTTAGGCCGATCCTGAGGACTGCGTAGCGTGAACCAGGGGGCCTGGTAGGTCGAAAGGATTAGATGGGCGAACAAACGGGTATAATTATTACAGACAGGATGTGCTCAGCCTTATCGATCATTTGTTGAAGAAATAATTCGGGATGATGAACCGAGCTCGTCCCGGATCTTAGAGTCGTGTCATCCCCTGGAATAATTTTGGTGGTTCGTATAATTTATAATTCGAACGTGCAATGGAAATTAGGGCGATGCCTGTTTCGTGCTGAATTAAGGGTTCCACGTGATGGTGGATGTCCGGGGGTTGACTTGTGTCCGTAAGGGTGGAAAGGAGCAGTGGGAGCATGGATAGCACTTTGTTAAGTAGACTCGAAGCAAGGAACGTGTAAATCATAAATGACGGGACACGTTGCAAGCAGGACGGGGGTACCCCCGTGAGGTTACCGGGCGGGGAGGTAGGAGGAGGGAGGCGTCGCGGCGCATGGCGGTGCCACGACCGGCAAGGAAGCCGAATACGTCAAACCACCAGTCTTAAATCATACGTGCCGCTCGCTTAAGCCAACCCTTCCTCGAGCGGCTAAGAAAATAAAAAATAGTCCTGCTGTCTCGACTCGTGGCATCTAAAAGCGGCTGCGACTGTTGATTTTGGCGGCTCGTGACACGGCTTAAAGAGACTTCAGGGCACGGGGGTTGGTTGTATGGTTGATGGTTGATGGTTGGTTCCGGATCGATATTTTAATTCAATTAGAATGAAGGGCGCTGCCGTAACTATCGACTGAAAACCAATACCCGTTCTTCTTGGAACGGGGCAAAGGTCAGAAAGACTGGTATCGCCGGTTTACACGGATTTTCTGCTTCGAGGGGGATATACTTTTTGGGTGGGAAATCTGATCTTGGGATATTGACGTAGTTGTGGTGATAAATTTTTGAAATTTTTTTTTTTTTTTCGAATTTTTTATCCAAGATTCATGGTGAATTTTGGGTAAGTACTATCCCCCCCACTTATGATCAAGAAATATCGCGTTTCAAGCCAAAATTGTCTTTTGCTTCGAATTTCTACCCGGCAGACTTTCACCCCCAATTAACGCGTTCTCATGAGGCAACAGAAGCGGCGCGCCTAATCCCAAACTACCCATAGGGGTATCTCATGGGAGCCCATGACTCCTTATGGCGCGTGCGCAACCATGGAAAATTGTCTGATAACGCCGGCCGAGCCGTCGACGGTTAGTATCGGCCGTCACGCCGCAGCGTCACGACGCTCGACCCGTGTGCACGTCTTTCGCTCGTTCCGCTAACTTGTGCTCCGATGCGTTTACGTTTTTAATAATAATTGGAGTTATAATAGAAGCTTAAATTTCTTGTTGTGAATTGCGGTAAGGATTTCGAGTTTCTTGGTATTTTGATAATTGGAAGAAAAAAAAAAGAAAAAAAAAGAAAGACATTAATATTTCTCATTTTCGTATTTTGCATGGATTTTTAACAAATTTTTTTTATTTTATTATCATACGTACTAATGACTCTTAGGTGACTGTTTAGGTGTATTTCGAAAAGAATTTTTCTTTCGGATATCATTACCAAAATGTGTCACGCAGTTAATGACAATTCTCACCACGTGTACCTAATACCATCATTAATAATATTTCTAATAAAAGATTTTACTGTAAACTCGTGTATTATTACTGTTAGATTATTTTTCTAATTATATAAATTTTTTATATTGTATCGTCCAACAGAGTTACCCGAAATATATTTTTACACTATAGAAACACACACTGTACCTATATAACAAGAAGGAATTGAAGTTTCAATGTTGTTCGTAGTATATTAAAATCGATAACCGATCGAGCCACGATAAAACACTTAATTTTTAATTATATCCCCATTTTGATCAACGATGGAAAAAAGTCAGCAGACACGCTATATTTTTGTCATAGATTAATGAGAGTTTTGTATATACATTTTTTTATTTTTTTTTTTTTTCATTAGCATCGTCCGCAAGATATTTAAAACAATCAATGCGGTTCGTAACGCGAATAAGTTCTTTTGTTCTTCCAATTGTCGATTCATGTCTTATCGCAGTGTATTCTATTATTTAAATCAATAATATCAATAGATCGTTGACCTCTTGCACAGTTTTCGGCATGGAAAGGTGGAGAGAATCCCAGTGGTTGTGCGATCAAGCGATTTCCGTGAATTGAGGCGAAAAAAGAAAAACCAAGAAATCGGTTGTTATCCTTAACGACTATGAGAGTTGAGTGACTTTTGGTGATTAGTTGCCGTAAAGCACGCAAAATCCAACACTATGGGGATTGGTACTCAGCTTGGACATTCTTCGGCATTGTTGTTGCTGTTGACGACATTGACGTCCGGTGAGTGAAATCTGAAATAAAAAAATAATTTATTAAATTACGCTAAAAATATGGTTAGTCGTAGTAAAATTGGGTATAAAAAATGTGTTTTGACGGCTCGAAAAGTTTGAAAATTTTTTTCGACGACACCTTCTCTCGCTACTCGTGCAATTTTACTATAGTCCAAACATCGTTATCGCTCGCTAATGAGAATTACCGTGGCGCCTGGGAAAGTGCAAGAGTATAGCAACAGCCGTGAACAAGTTTGCGAAACAATGTTATTGGGGATCCGACGTGGTCGAAAGAAAAATTGAATTTGTAAGTCAAAAGTTGCCGTCAGCTTGTTTGCCGGATACCAGCCAAAAATGAAGAAATTATAATTTCGAATTCAGGGCCTCCCGGCATTGTGTGTTAAGTCTGCTACGGGTGTTAATTGCCTTGGGAATTAATTGCGTCGCGCTAACGTTAAACCGCAATCGTACGGGTCAACTTCCCGGTGTACTACTACTTTCAGGTAATAATAGAAATCGCGCTAGTACGTAGCGTTAACCGAATATTCTTAGTGGCCCAAATGGACTCTGCACCGGCTTGATATTCTCTCCTGATAAATCCACAATGCGGTTTTTATTGAAATTTTATTAAAATAATCGGGCACCGGCGTACCGTGATAATACGAAAAGAACAAAGATTAGATATACCGTAACTCGTTAACATTTAATGATTAAGGACTCAATTTTGAATTTTTTTCTAATTGCAATGAATTTTATTTTTAATCAGTACTAACAGGTCAATGGCAGCACGCGTTACATGCGGTCAGACATTTGATAATAGATGGGTCAGTTGGTAATATCTGAAAAAAAATATAACTGATGTCAGAATATAGTTGCAGAAGGAGGTAAACTCGTTAATTAGCCACTTTGAATTTTTCCCATCGAACTAATTAATAAATTCATTGATTTATGGATATTCAATGTCATATTTATTTATATAGAAAAAATACCATTTGTCGTATTTTCTATATTTTTTTTTTCCTCTATACAGGAAATTGATTTGCCAGAGTTTATTTCTTTTCCGAAGAAATTAAGAGCAAATAAGAATCGCCCTTACGCTTCCTGGAACAATAGGCATAAACCCTTTGCTTTTATTTCTCTTATCATTTTGCACGAGAAACGTGTTTATGTATAGTATATATATATATATACACATATACCCACGCCCGATGTACTAAATCCCCACGATATCCCAATAAACATAGAGAAGCCAACCCCATAAAACAAGGTCACACCATGGATTCGATTGGTAATTGGACAATATACAGTATGGAATTTTGTTAAGAGGGTTACTAGTTTATCAGAGGGATTAAGTCTTTATTCCCTCCAATATTAATTCCCCTAAAGACAGATGTACGCTGCGCTACCAATACGTATTAAACACGCCCACATGCGGTGCAGAAGGCGATAAAGTGTCCAGGCTCACATTGCCGCTTAAGACGATCAACTACGATATTTGGTATTTTGAAAATAAAAAAAAAAACAATTTTTCTCAATATTTCATTAATTCGAGCCTATTCTTCCAAGGTCAGAAACAAACGCAAAAATTCCACCTGAAAATAATATACTCATCATAGCTCGGAGCTGTAGATAATGTTCTATCCAATGTTAGGATACTTGGGCTACCAATATTCTCAATCCGTAAAGGTCTGCCCGATATACATTGGGAATCTGTCGGTATAGGTATATATACATATAGCAACATGTCAAATCAATAGTCGAGGAGAAAATCGACATTTCTGATTATTATGTCCTATCATAAATTTTTGCATTCGTGGATTAGGTCCCTACAAGCGTAGTAAGTTTATTGGTCCTTTCTTGGTCTTCCTACGTAAAATTTTCAAATCCGCTCGCCACCACGTCACCTTGATGAAATATGAATGGGGCGAGCACGGCAGTACGTAAATTAAGGCGAATTCTAATCTGTCGCCATTCAAGAATCATCTACGATTTGGTGAATGATTTTTGCTAATGACGCATGATTACACACGTGGGACCCCATGTAGCTGGTTTCACGGCCATCTTCAACCTCTGTTCCACTTTTATTAAACCAGACCAAGAGAAGGGGTGGATAGGTGAGTTGACAAGAGTGGGACGGGCGGGGGGGTAAGGGGGTTATCTAGCCTCCCTTAGTGGGATACATCGTTTTACCTACCCTCCATTGCTTTTTGGAGGGTGCTGAAGCCACGAACGTCTTATTGCTTGAGTCACGCCACAGCCATTAGAGAGGCCGGTGCACGAGCTTATGAAAAATAGCTGCGAATTTAATATTGATTTCTCTATTAGTATACCGGAGCTTTTTTATTCCCGGGATTGACGTCAAAGAGAGAAACTCCATAGCCGCTTTGGGCCACGAATCGTTGAATTGTCGCATATATTTTTTTTAAACCATTTATTTCCTTTACGAAAAATATGCATGTCATTTTTTTTGTTACAATTGTCCAGGCAAACAACTGGGGTCACTCGTTTTCCTTTTGCGTATCATTGCGGTAACACGTGTGTGTATATATACTTTTTCGAAACAATAGGATTTTTAATTTTGACTAAACCAATACAATTCACGTTAAGGAGGCGTATTGCTTATCGACGAGTATTGAAACTCGATAAGCTAAACAAAGATAAGAATGACTTCTGGCTCGTAAATATTTTCTCAAAATTTTGTATCGCGTCACCATCTTGTTTTCGTTAATGGACAACGATATAGGAACACGATGCTACGTACTTTGTATAATGCTTTTCTATTTGGAATCTTAAGCGAGTTGCGTTAACGTGACATCGTTTGCGTATTACGTGGATAGCAGTGATGATCTATTTGAAGATTGGAGAAAAGTATGAAAAATGCTCGACAGACGCGCAAAGCCATGCTGAAAGGTTGTGTATGAGAAAAGACCCCGAGGGCTTAAGATTTTTCGTTTTTCCTATACCTTCCGCGAGTGCGAGAGAGAGAGACTTATGTGGGCTTACGTGCGCAAGAGAGAGAGACACGTAGCGTTAACCGAAATCACGATAGATACCCTTTCTCAAATTGACAGTTCTATGGCCTTAGCTTTGATAGACCATAAACTTCTGTAATACTTGAAAATATCAAGATGATACGACCGTAAGTTTTATTTGGCTTTCTTAAAAGATCTAACGAAGTCGTTCCATGATCGCGATCACTGGCGATTCCTGTCGCAGTTTGTCCGACGATCGAATCGATGCGATGTAAACTCTTCTTCTTGAGGTTTCTCTCTTTATTTTCTCTGCTTCACATTTGTCTTCTCGACTTAAGCGATCGACGCTGGCGCGAACGAGCCTCACGGTTTAGACAGTCGTCGAACAATAAACAAATAGTAAAAACTTGCTACTCCTTTCCTCATCCATGCGCGCCTGTCAATTACGTAGGTAGTAGATAGAGCCTCGACTTGGAAGCCGGGCCAGACTTTATTACAGTGCAGAGACGGGTTCGCCGGGTAACGAATGTCGAAAACGATGGAGTTCGTTCAACCCCGCAATAAAGCAGGTCTACCAACCTGAGTAAATAACCTTGATTGCGCGGAATGCCCTGAAAAGAAAATTGTGTCATTTTAAAGCGCGTTACTTCGAGCGGAGATACGTAAAGTTCCGATAGGATGTAATTAGAATCAATACTGTAGGAAGTAGCGGTGTATCCGCCTGTATCCATAGGGTGGTAGCGATGAGAATTTGACAAGAATTCGATTGTGACGTCGCATAGAGTCTTTTATCGTATTAGAACAGTACCGGAAGTTCATGGAAAAATTGTTTTATGAGAGTGCTTTTTTCTTCTTAAGTTATAACCGTAGAATCATCAAACTCATACTGTAGCATGTGAACAATCCGATCGATGACGGACGATCAAAAAGGCACAAGGTCGCATGATATCCATGGGTGATAAGGTATCACCAATAGAGACATTGATTTAGAATGTCGTAGCAAACGTTACCCGCAGACTGGCAAGCCTATCCCAATATGGGATGCGCGATCCTTTCACGAGTTTTGGGTAATCGAACAGCATAGATAGTCTGTAAATAGAATAAAATAATAGAACTGTCTTTTCACATGATCGGATTCGATTGACTTTTTCATTATTTTTCATATCTCTTTTTTTAACAGATACTTCTCTCTTCCTGAAACGAAGTACCGAGCGTTTACGCGAACGGGATAATTTCATTGTCGAATACGTACGTACGTATTCAATGTAGAATACTGGAGTTTACGTTTAACAGGCTATTTCATTTCTCCCGGATGCCTCTTGAGTTCCTTATATCCCATCGGAGCATCCTTAGTTTGGGTATGTAGACAGAAAGAACGTAAAAGTCCCTAGGGTTCCCAACGAATGGCATTAATTCCAACTAAACACGGCAACGCGTCTGAATACGAAACCAGTGTAATCCAGCATATCTAGGAAAGAAAAAAAAAGTATCTCAAAGTAAAGGAAGTTATGATTGCGGAAACAATTTCTTTTTCAAAAGTAGAAACGTCGGAAGTATCAATTCCAAAGTGGCCCTGACGATGAGGCCCTGTGACTTTTCCACCCGCATGTATATCATCGGGACAGCTAGGTCTCAGCGACGGTGCTCATAAATAATTAATAAGCGTCGGCCTCGGTGGCAATACAGTAAAGGTGATTATCGAAGGCGTCGGTGTCGACTAAAATAAAATTTTTTTATTCAATGATAAATAGTATGAGGATACATACCTATGCGTGTAAGGGTTGCCAATGGTGTCATGCATTTTATGTTGTCCTTATACAGTATATACATAGATATGGATGAGTGATACAAGTATAGTATCAGTTAGTGAAATCCATGGCACGGGGTAATTCTTCATTAAGGTAATCTTAATATCTGCAATTAAGTAACATGCCCGAATCTCGTAACGAGGCTTCGAACGTTTCTAAATATAAGCGGCCAATTAACCGTGTTATTTATAGGATAATATGATACGGCTGCGCAATGGCATTGCCGCGTTATATGTATATGGTGTGGCGGGACCATGGTGTATGCCGATGTCATATGTCAGGATGTGAAATGTTGTTTGGTGATTGCCAGGTGTCACTGAACTTAAATTACGAATAATTTTTCTCCTTTGTAATTTCTCACGAGTCGTCGTTATACATTGAAATTAATGTATCGAATAATTGCATAGATTAAACGATTAAAAAATTTGATTATTTCGTTATAAGGACTTACCCTCGTGAACTAGATAGTATACGGTGTAAGAAGAGTGGGGCAAATTTCCATGAAAGCATGATGCGAAGGTAATATCCACAATTAACGTGTTAAGTGTCGCCAAGGGTAATCGATAAATTCGATGAATTTTTCTCAATCACCTTCAAAAGAAATTCGATCTTCCACCTGTAGGACGGAAGCACTTCGTTGCACTTTGCATATATCGATACACTGTTTATGGGGATGAATCAAAAATTGAAAACAAAAATTTACCTGAACGAGCATTCCTCACTTTTGACTTCTTGTAGATGCGCCGAGCTATGAATATATCGTTAATAGCTCGAACGTTGATTTGCAATCAAGAGAACCTCTTTGGACTTATCGTAGATATATTTATACGTGCTGTATATACTGCACGATCAGCTACACGCCTACCTGGTAGGTAACGTTGCCATAGAGTGTGGAGCGTATCGATTTTTCGCAGGGCATTATGCAGCAGAAAATGCATCCTGGACAGGTCGAATTTCAGGCTGCAACGGGAAGGATAGATCGGAAAGAGGATAGAAAATTGTGGGAGCGAGAAGTAAGGGAGACAGTTACGTAGGTATAACGTTGACTGTAGGTAGGATATTGATTAGCGGGCTTAGTGTTTACTAGCTGCAGGAAACAGAGAGAGAGAGAGAGAGAGGGAGGGAGAGAAATTGCGGTAGAAAGGGAAATGAAGAAAAGTATGGGAGAGAGAAGTAAGGGAAGGTAAAATCGACGCGAGCCTATGACCACGAAGCATGCAAGTCCCTGGCCTTAACCTCGACTAACGTATTCTCCGTGGAAGTCAATGTTGTTTAGTTTACTTACGCTATGCTTGCTTACAGTTTCTTCGTCATACTTCTTTACGTACCTTGGTCACTTTATATCTAAACAGTTGTCGCATTATCGCTGAACATCTCTTAACTGTTTCACCTAGAACGTACTGACGTACTTTGTAGTTTGCACGTGTCAGCTGACTGGCGGCCATTGTCGTCCGCGTCTAGCAGACTGAATGCCACTAGGGTACGTTAAATGCAGTTGTATTTCAATGGGGGCCTGAGCTGGAAACCGCAGGACGGTCGATACAGTAGATTTTCGAGGTATTTCAAATTTCGTTACTCCCAACTATTAAACATTGCCAGAGTCATGATATTGCACGGTGTGTACACTTGGCTACGTTGAATTTCTGGAAATGATACCGACTGGTTTAAGCTAATAAATTTCTTGAAAATTGAACCAGTCGAGATATACGTGCTAGTTAAATTCGTCATGAAATCATATGCCGTTATACGACTCGTAAAGTCACTACCGTGTCTCGTAGCAAAGGAGTAATTTCTTCAGTGCCCAATAGTCGTAAAACATGTGAAGAAAGGAAACTGTTAACAATTTGTACGGTGTCCGTTACGAGATCACAGTTTCACGTTGCACTCTGTGAGTTGAATCCAGACATATAATTTTATGTATATTATCACGATTTCGACTTCGAATAAGATTTGAATTTGACGTTTGTGTTTTTGATGTTTATATCGTTACGTAGTGCAGCCCCGGGTAGTTACGCGAGGTGTGTACCTAATGAGTCGTAATAAAGAGCACATTTAATCTCGCGAGAAGCGTTCGTAATAGAACTGTACACTGGTGGAAATGTAGGTGGATCTTCAGTCGACGGTCCCATGGGCCATTCGCCACACCCCATAACCTAAATACTCGGAGCTATGGCTACCGAGTACATATTATATATTGCACACAACGAGCGTGATAATAAGGCTAGCTCCTGTTCTCTGTTCGCTAATTAAATAACTTTACTTCCGTTCGCCTTCCGTATCGCAGTTGAAACCAGGAATACCGTAATCTGTGTTCAGTGAAAAAAAAACAACAATATTACAGCAAGATATACATATGAGTGTACACGGATAAAATAAATCGAAAAAATTCAAGGGTACAATCGACATGAAAATTATTTGTATAGGAGCTTTTAAACTGTTTCTTTTTCACGCGTTCGATAAACGTAACTTATCATTGCGATATTATTTTTCTCTCTTAAATAAGGACCTACGTTCGTCGTATGTATACATACATCTTTGACATGATTGATCGCGTCTTTTACGTCACCGCGTAGATGAAAGATAGATACGCAGCAGATACACATATACGAAACGTCAAATGAAAAAATGTCGAATGTAAATTCGTTAAAATTAAAATTCCCATGAATTTTAATACGCAACCCAGATACACGGCACACGTCAAAATGCAATCAAGCGATGCCGGAAATTTGTGTAGCAATTTGTTTGAATAAAAAAAATAAAATAGCTACTATTGCTAACCCCTAGCCGAAGGGAAAATAAAAATTACAATTTATTTTTTTTTCAATCGAGTAAACAACAATGTTTCCAAAAGACAAATATTCGTACTGACAGTTTGAATTTTCGTCTGACAAAATATATAATATTTCAGGTCAACCTCTAACTCTATGTCACATTCTAATTCCAATCCTCTCATCTGTTGATTAAAAATAAACTAGGTTCATATACCTATACGTAATCCCTCGTTCGAACAAATACCTCATCCTATACAATCCTCTCATTTCTCCAGATGATTACTGCCGTACGAGACAATAATCCAGCTCACCTCGTTGCCGGCGCCGCGTGACACATGTTTCATAATAGAGCATTAATTTGATCGTTATTCGTCCACGTCTGCCACTTGTGTCTCCTGACGTACTCGCATGTGTCCCCTTCTACGGAAATGATCCTTTTTCCATGAGTTTCCATACGCATGAATACCCGAGTACAACGCGTCACACGAAAGACCCTACCGGAAATCAAGAAAGTCTTTCACTCCCTCCCTCCCATCAACATCCCCCCCTTTCCTACGATCCTGCAGGATTAACTCACGAATTTATCCTGCACCCTCGTACCCTATACATATGTAACCCCGTGCACACCATACGTGCGCTACAGCCATGATACCAGGGATGAACATGATTCCTGGTTTCCTGATTAAGTAAAAAACAAAATATTGTCACGCGTTAACACGAGAATCGTGCACGCGACAATTCTTATTTCCCAAGAGTCGAATAAATCTCATGGCGTCCGACAAGCAGTCGGAAGTGACAGGCAAGTCCATATTCTTGAGCGGGGGGTGAAAATTAGTTGAGCTCGGTAGTCAAACATTAAACCACCCTTTGTATTACCATGTAAGAGGTGTTTGCCGGTTGACTTAATACTTAGCGGGTTATTAAAGTCTGTGGAAAAGTTTCGTACGATACGAAGTATCAGGGCTTGCCTATCCCTTACAGGTATATCTGACGTTTGAGGTTATGCACGAGTTTAGTATGGGTTGTATGCTTTTTTGTCCGACTATGGAAACGGAAATTTTTTTCTTTTTCAATACTCTGCGTGGACCTTGTAAACAGACGCGGTTACGTCGCGAACAAGTAACTGTGAAGTTAGCCAACGCCTGACTTTATACACCCTGTTGACTATGTCACTTTCATGCGACATCCGCGACGCCGGGCGTCCACGTACCATATACTAGGCAAACATAACCTGCGAACGGGGCTATACACGCTGTGGGATATACTGGGGGTTACCCTTGTCTGTCAACACGCCACCACTTTATAATGTAACCATACCAACCCCCGATATACCTTTCCCGTCCCTCTTTGGAACTTGCGCCTCCACTTTGGTATTACCGACCGGTATAGGGGAGTTATGTAATGGTCATAATGGGATGCGTGTAATCTAGCGACGTCTATGCTTATGGAAATTTTTCAAATCGAACATTTAACGCTTCGCTTGTTACGGGGCGAGAGGGGCGAAGAGGGATGTGTAAGAAATCTGAATAGGGTCAGGATGATGAGGGTAAATTTTTTTTTTGAAATGAAGTTGAAAAAATTTTTTTTGCGTAATGCTTGATTTTTTAATCATTTTTTTTTTCTTTCGTTTATTTATTTTCCGGCCTTGACCTATAGGAGCGTTTGGCGTTTCTAGTTACTTTTATGGTGATTGAAAGGTTCTGTCGTTTTATTGGATAATTTTCCGAGGGTAGCTTACGCGAATTTATCGGTACTGAAAATCGATACTGTTCTGGCTACATCGAATTTGACATTACCCGGAATTAGCTACAGGAATTTCCTTTTATTACTGTTAGTTGGAGTCTTGCCACTTTTTCGAATCATTTACGAAAAATTGGCCGAATTCGAAGCACCGCTTGAGTGTCGATATCGACGTTGATGAAATTCCCGGAAAAAGATGAAATTTTCAAAAATTTTCTTAAATACGTAATTTCCTCACGTACTCACGACAAATACCAAGAGCAATATTTTCGTCGAATTTTAGGATCGTCCCTCAGAGACCCCGCTGAGCCAAGGCCAGAGGTTAAAGGGCACTGGTAATTTTTGCAATCACGAATTATTCAATTTTTCCCTCCGCGAATCTGCTATAGGTATAAAATAGTTGCAGTGATACTTTTCAAATTTAATTTGTTCCCTCGAAAAATTACGATAGCGTCCATACGTAATATTGAAAAGTGCATCGCACCGGGTTAACAAGGTTTGACTCTAGTCAACCTAACCTGAAAGAATGGCAAAGGGTCTCCGCCGCTATACAAGCTCACGACGAAAGGAGCCTCGGACTCGTATAGCTTGAAAAGTGTGCCGTGTTTACCGTAGCTCTGATTAAACCCTCGGCACCTTATTGCCACTAAAACTCCTCCAGGAGATGACGTTGAGGTTGGGTACGCAAAGACTTCGCGGACTCTAGCCAAACCTTAGTCATTGCCAGGAATCTTTGGTATAAGTCGATTAACTCTTTCGTAACGTATTGTTGATAGGAGAAGAAGAATTTTTATATCCCTATCAATAGCACGTGCAGGTTAATCGAACGGGTGACCGAAAAAAGCGGAAAGACCGGAAGTAGCTAAATAAAAAAAATTTTCAAGTTAGCAACCGTCAAACGCATATCCGAGGTAGGTTTTGAGATAAAATTTGTAAAATATATTTTTGACTTTTTTTTTTGTCATCCCTTAAAAAATTGCCCTTACACGGTTCTAAGGATTTAACGTCTCTGGTAGTACGGTAACGTTTGCAATTATCTCTATTGGGGTGATCCGAAATTTTATTGTCAGACTTCCGCTGTCGTTGGGTTAGGTTGGTAGTAACTGGGGCTTTTAAGGGGGGGAGTTCGGACGTTAAGAAGTAACCGACGCGTGGAGAAAGGAGTGAGAGTAGGGAAAGTAACTAGTCTAAGAGCTTAACGCTGCTGCTGGCTTATGGAGTCGAGTGTCGAGGATGCGTAGTCTGCTGGATGCTCTTGTTGGAGTTTTAGTGGGTTTCGCCACTTTAGACATGAAAGCGATGCTTTTATCGTTTCTCTAGAGATAGAAAAGAGGATTTACGAGTTTTTTACCCTTTTCTTTTTTTCTTTTTTTTTTTTTTAAGTAAGTTTGACAAGTTGGAAGTAATTGTTGATCCTTCACGATTTAAATTGAGATTTTAAGTGAGACCGGTTTTTGCGGCAATGGAGGAAGACACGGAAGGGGTCAGGGGGTGGAAAAAAAATAGTCTCTTTGAAGATACACCGAAATCCAAAGCATTTTTGTACTTTCTTTCCCCCTTTTTTTTACGCTTGAATTTTGTCCAATAATAATAATAATTAGTCTCCAAGAATATACGAGAAGTCGCCTTAAATCGCAATTCGGATAACAGTATATATATGGTATATGTACTATATGTATGTATATTCGTGAAATGGTGTTAGATATTTTTTAATCTTTCGTACCCTTTCTTTGGTCGCAGTAAAGTTCGTATTTTTCGAAGCTTCAAAGCGAAAGGCTTTTGCATGCGTGCGTAATACCTACAACTTACTTTTAGAAGCTTTACAAATGGCGAGGTGCCATCGTAAAAATCAATACCAGTATTCGACAATTTAAAGTGGGTTTATTTCGAATTGGGATTCTTAGTAAAAATGGCAATTTATTTCTTTTATCGAATGCCAAGTGAATTGAATGTAATATGTACATATATATATATTCGTCAATAAAATTAGTCTTTTCTCAGTTCATCCAGTCTTCACGTACGGGGTACTAGTCTAGTCTTTTCGTGTCTTGCGCAATTCTTCTAATTACTCTGGCTCTACCGGCATAATGGGCTTCCTGCTGGTTCTACTACCTTGCTTGTATATTGCCTGGTAATTAGTGTAAACTCGAGCTATTAGTGCACTTGCATAGTAAACAGGAGACCCTCTGACCAGATGAAGATGAATATCGTATAACCACGCACGTATACGGGAAAAAAATAAGATAGAAAAATGATGAAAATCAAGAATATTTTTACCTAAGGCGCGGATCTTTGTTCTGGGAAATCCAAAATGGTTTCGATGAATTTTTAGGAACGTATATTTT